TAATTCAGTTTAAAAAAAAAAAGGCGTGCCCTATTTCTACACTGCATGTGTCATTTCAATTTAGAAATTGTTTTTTTGAGAGCTGTCTGTTAGCAAAATTTCTCCCTGAATATGCAATAAGTTGTACATTAGCATTTTCTTCTGTCAAGAAAAATGGCTTTCTTCAACCATTCTTCAGAAGAAACATTCAATTTTCAGTTCTGCTTCTTGCTGGTTTTCTTCTATTCTGAGCATTCTTTTTTAATTCTAGACCCAACTGTCTTGCTTATACTGTCCAACAGTTATATAATGCCAACTTCTTCATGCATTTCCATTCATGTAGTAAGAATGTTTTGGGTCTTTTTTTTTTTTTTTTTGAAGGCACTGCATGCAAAACTGCAACAGGAAATTATTTTCAGTACTGTCAGGGAAAAAAACGGTGGTGGTTGGCAGTTGATAATGAATAGAATTGGATTTTTCCCATCTACTAAATGGCAAATGTGGGTCTATGGTAGAGCATCGCAAAACGAGGCAGCACTTTCAGTAACTACATATTTTAATGCCCTTCATTCTGCTCTCAGATGCACGTACATTTACTTACGGCTTTCAGTAGATTATGAGGCAGAACCCAGAGAAGTCATCAGTTAGGAAGCATGACAGGAGAAAGCTGTCAATGGCCATTCTAGGAAGATCTGTGAGACAGTTCTCCCTTTTTTGCTTTTCAGAAAAACACCAGCCTCTTGCCATGAACTGTTTATCAATTTTGTGACACAGAACAGGAATGATGATATCACAAGTAGCAATGACACTGGAATAATTACACTCTGAACAGCTTCTCAATTTTCAAATGCTTTAGCTAAATACAGCCATATCTAAAGCCTACTGGCCTTCTCCCAGCTGTTAGCTACTTAGTGACGTATCCCAGCAATTCCAGCGTGACTTTTTTTTTTTTTCCCCTGTACGGAAGATTATGATATGGCATAGACATTTCTTAGTAAAATAATGCAACTACCATAGTTTTCCCTTCCATGTTAGAAACATTACCCCCATATTGTTATATTTACCTAATAGTGTTGCATTACAGCACCTACATCAGCATTTAGGACTTACTGCCAATGGGACAGAACCCATACAAGTGATCGATGTCAAAGTTGGGGGTCGTTGCGCACCACAGCAAGCCGTCCAACCGGCCAGCATCTGTGCACCCTGCATACCACTTCCCATTCAGCTGAAAAGGAAAGGTGCACGGAGCTCCATGGGAGTTTCCTAGCAGTGTAAATAGATCTACAGGGATAAAACAAATGAAAGTATGAGTGAGAGAATCTCTACCCATCACTACTCCCTAAAAATTTTGCAGAGGAAGTATTCCACATGTTATGTTAGTGTAACTGGACACCTACTGCTATCAGCAGTCTTTCACAAAACCTCTGCATAGATCTTGCAATTTACCATCATCTCATGAAATCACCATCTGTAACAACTGGAAATGAGACAATTTTGTACTATAAAAATTTTGTACTATAAAATTTTTTCACATAAAATGCTATTTTTAGAAAATTATTTCTTTCTTCAAGTATGTTAATTTCCTGCCATCCCATATAAATTAGTCATGTATTTAAAAAAAAAAAAACAAAAACAAACAATTAATCATCTGAAACCTTGTGGAAGAACAGAATGGTAGTGTGTATGGGATTATTTATTTGCACTTACTATTGGAGAATTAATCGTAAAAAGTTTTTTGTCTTTTATCCAACATTGTTAATAATATTTTACTAGTATTGGAAAAAACAACAACACCACCACCACCTAAACTAGTATTTTAGTATCAGCCAATTAAATAAACTGAAATGCTTAGTCTAGAGCTAATAACAAAACATATGCTAGATACTAGATAGATTTGTTTTGAAAGTAAATAAAAAACTGCAATTTTTTGCACATATACTGTCTTCTGTCTGAAGCCAAGTATCGTTCTATCTCAGGATGGAGGAATGTGACTCGTGTGAACTGATTGCCTTCCAGCCCACAGTTGCTTCAAGGGGAGCAGCTGCTGTTGTTAGATTACCAGGAGCAGAAATAAAAGGGCACTACCTGCTATGGCAAATGAGCACAAGTCACTGTTAGGATTAATCTTCAAAATTTACCTTTATGGCCTTGAGAACACAAGTCATCCATGGTTCCATAGATCTTCCATTTGTTCGTTGTATCTGACCCTGAGTCCAGTACAATATTATCTTTCTTTCTTTTACCAACACTGAGAAATAAGTTCTCTCCATGGATTACCAAGGTTGAGTTTCTGCAGCCCCATTTTTGGAATTCACTTTCTTCGTTGCAGGGATACAAAGAAATTTTAGCCTGATCTTGCTTGTAGCGCACTCCCAAACATTGTGCAAATGCCACACTCATCACCTGGTGGTCGGACACCCACCTGAATTTCTGTAATTCACTGGTTTTTTTGCAAGCAGCTATTGTGACTGCATGAGAACTCTGAGCAATTAGGCACAGTTTACTATCCTCATTATACATTAAAAATATTTCATTGTCTGTAAAAGAAAATAATAAGAATTAATGTGTACAGAAATAGCAAGGGGAGATTATGAGGAAAGGGGCATGTTCTGCTGCTGTTTCTACACTGGTCGCCTGACTCATGTCATATGACTTGGAGTTCTGAGTCACTTTTGCAAAAGTCACACAGCATTCTCAAGACGTTTTCTTCCAAGATAGAAAAATGCATGCAACTCATGTAAATACAGTACATGGGAACAAGAGAAAGTAAATTATATCATGACATTGTTTCCAAAATGTCATCAGTATAACGGAATTTTCATAAGTATAATGGATTTTATTTTTCCATATGCATCCTGAAATCTATATGCCTGTTGTGATTTTCAAAAGAAACCCCATGGAAGATTCAGAAGTTTGCCGTCATTCTGTGCACAATGGACTTAAACCTTCTTACATACATGCCCAAATAATTGCATCTGTGTTAATTCAGTTAATGAATGAGCCTCTTGTCACACCTCCCTTCTTCAATAATTGGCAAATTCTGCTATTTTTCCAGTATGAAGGACAGCGATTTGTAATCTTGCCCTGCTCTAGTATTCTCTTATTTATACATTTAACATAAGAAATCAATACAATTAAACATAATAAATCCCAAGCAAATTCTCACAAGAACAAACACTGAGCAGTGTATGGCAGTAAAGATAGTATACATGGCTCTGTGTTTCTGTGCTCTACTAGGTTAAGATAATGCACTAACACTAAACAAGATAGTTAATGCTCCCAAAGGATTGTGGGCACCACAACTCGTGGGTCTTGCTGGTAAGGGTTATCTGCGTCGCAGTTGTACACCTGTCAACATATACAGCAGTTATTCAGTTGCCTGTAAACAGAATTGCCTGATTTTCATGATTTCATATAACTCTCACTAGTTTTGGTTCACAATGGAGATAAGTTTCATCTACAAGGACAGCCCTAGGACTTATGGGACAGAAGGGCAAAGGTTTGCCCTTCAGTACTTCACATCTTTAATTCCTGAAGAGAGATGTAACATCCCTCTGCTATTTGTCCAAGACAGTAACTGCATAGGGAACAAAAGCAAATTCCTAAGATGGGAAAGGATATTAGAATACTGTTGGTATTGAATAGAGAATAGAACAGAAAGTGTCTTAAGAACTTCTGATTCATGAACTTTTGATGATTTTTTTATTATTATTATATTTGCATTTAATGCTCTAGCTCTCCTAAGGTCCAGTGTAACTTATAACAGTTTAGTAGTTTATTGAAGTTTCATTTATTCGAATCTAAATTAAGAACTAAGACATAGTTCTTAACTTATCCATTTAAGCAAAAAGCTGTAAGTTGGATTAAATCTTTTAATTATTACATCTAACTACTACAGAGCATAGCATAGTGTACTTAATTTCAGCTATTGCCCCCATTGCCCTGACTCCTAACTTCCAACTTTGCCCTATTCTGATCTTCTTTACATCTTAAAAATGAACCAATGTCTTTAACTGTATATTTCTTAAACTTTTGAGAACCACTCCAGTTAGGATGAACGTGACATGCAGAATAGCTGTATAAGAAAATCTTTAAGAACTTGAGAAAAGAGCAAGAGAACAAAACCTCTCACTTTCACATCTATTTTTGCAGGAGATAGAAGACAAGTACTCACCAAGTGCCAGAAAAGCAGTAGTAACGAAAGAGAAGAAAATTAAAATTGCAGAAGTCAAGTATTTCATTCCTTTCTTCTTAATCACAAAGAGATAAGTTTAATTGCTGCAGTAGAAATCTTAAAGGAATAATTGGTGCTGGGTCCTCCTCAGCTTTGGAGAATTTTGTTTGACAGAGAAAACTTGACACTAAATAAGGAAACATCCTGTCACATGTGATATTTTTGAAATATATAAATAATCACAGAATTCAGATTTGCATCTGAAACTTCATTTTCAGTGACAAACAGGTAAAAATACAGAGCCATAATTTCACGCAAATTTGACTCAGGAGAACCAATACAAATTAGACAAATCTTTACAAACCTTTCTGTTAACTAGAGATTTTAACAACAAAATAGTTTGAAAATGTACAGAACACAAATGTACAGTTAGAAGAGTAGCATGGTTAGAATAGTATATCATAGGATTATCATGCTGGAAAGACACATCAAAAACGAAACACTCACCCACATCTCAGGCCAGCAGTAGAAAACTCCAAAAGGAGTCTCTCCAGAAAGAGATCCTTCCCCAGTGGCAGTCAGCCCTTAAATGGGATCTAAGAGAGGTGCAGCCAGGCTCCACCCCTTCCGGTCATGCAGCTGAATTGCCTTCACCTGTGCTCCCATGACTTACTCAGTGCTTGCCTCAGGGGATCAATCAGTGGTTCAGGCCACGACTCAACAGTTCCCATACAGGAAGCAGTCTTTCAGAAGTATTTAATACATAAAGTATGAATGCATTTTAACACTAAATAATTTGTTTCTTGCACCAAGTGTGAGACAAAGAGAAATAATCTCAAAGAAATGAGCTGTAACCCTTTATTAAGAGGAAATCAAATTTAGCCATGGTGTAAGGAAAAATAAAATCCTTTGTTTTGAAGGAAAAATATTCAGCAGAAATTGCCTTCAGAATTTCTCATACTTTTTGCAGTTTTGTTATTAAGACAAATTCACAATATATTCTGCAAAGCTAAAGTGTGACTTAATGTATGAGAAGAAAACCAGTTACAGTCCACAGAGATATAGTTTACCAATATCAGCTATCAAAATATGCAATTATAATGACATTATTTGTTATATCTATGGGGGTTTTATTCATTTGATTACTCTTTTTGTTTGCTTATGGTATATCAGTGGCCATCAAGCAGCACTTGACTGAAATCAGTGTCAGTACTTAAAAAAAGATAAACATGGGTACATCGTAATTTATACAAAGAAAAAAAAAGTGCAAGATGAAGGGGACTCAGTAAAAATATCTCAAACACAGAACACCCTTCATTCCCTGACCTCTGCAATATTTTTTTGTTTGACAGCAATATCTGCCAGCCATGAGTCTAATGTCATGAGTATGCATGGACATTCCTTCCCACTGACCTCTCTTGTACAGTTCTTATGAACTTTTCAAGGGTCTGTTTTCCCTTGAAATCCTTGAAATCTTTTTTGTTTCATTTTGCAGTTAGCCACACACATAGAATTTAGAGACAACAAACAGCACAGTAATGCTGTAAGGCAGCATGTTTATGCTCTATGCTCTGCTCCTTGCTGGACTGTTTTCTCAGGAGAGGCAAGGACACAGTGTCCTGTCTTCAGCTCACTCAGAGAGCTGGAGGATAATAAGAGAAGACATCCAAAAATGAGCTGCCAAGTGAAGTAAAAACAGAAATAGATTCTACCAGCTTTATTTGTCACTTATGTTATTTTACGGCTTACTTATATTTCTTCTTAGTTATATGACTTGCTTTCATGTTTCTTCCTGTTAGCCTCTCAAGGTTAATGACACACTGAATCACCAATCAGATAACATCTCCATGTGCTAATTCAACACTTAAGTACCATTACATAAGATATAGATCTTTTATTTACAGATAGACAGATCCTTTACAGTCTCATAGTTAATGCAAAATATTCAAAGTTGCAGGGTATGTCTAATCTAAGTTGAAGCCATGAATGAAGGACAGATATCTCACTTACAGATGCTCTATAGTGCCTAACCCATACCAAAGGAATAATTGCCGCTTTAGTTCAAGTTGCATGTTGGTACATGTAACTTCTACTAAGATTTATTTGTTCTAGCTAGATTACTTTTAAAGCTTGGATTTATAGAGTAGCTGTTATCACATTACACAGCACTCCGTTCACTTCCTCCTTCGCTGCTGGCAGGATCATTTTTGTTGTTCTCTCTGGCCAGGGCACTGCTGTACTCCACCAGCATGCTGTGCTGCCCCACTGCTCGTTCAGCCTCACTCTGGATTTTGATCTTGAAGAAGAAATAAACCATGATGCCCATGCCTACTAAAATGACGAGAACCAGAATAAGGAGTATCCAAACAGTGCTCTGATCTTTGTCCTTTTGGCCACCTGTAAATAAATGTAAAGCAAGTAGAAGTAGGTCTACTTATATGCATAAATAAATATGTAAGCTTCTAAAAAAATACAGGTCTAATTTTTCCCGTGGTGTTAACTGTGGTGTTCATTAGGAACCCAAGCTTATGAAGAAAGTAGAAGATAATTTCAACATCTGTGGCCTACTTCCACTGTTCTCTTAGGTAAAGCAGCTTTGGTCATTACGATGTAAATACTATTGTATGCTTTTTCATGATAACAATTACATTAGAAAATCCAGTGTAGTATTACTGCGTCAGTTACTTTAGCATGCAAAAGAAGGACAAAACAGAGGAAGATCATTTTACATAAGCATTTATTTTTCCTGAGATACTGTATGTCTCCCAGGTATTGCTAAGTGTTGCTAGTAATGAATTCAATGGCAACAGTAAATTAAGCCCACATAAATAAAGATACAGAAGTCAAGTAAATTATACGTGCCCATTCATTAAAAAGCAAGTATTTATTTTTATTTTTATTTCATCTCCTTGAAACTATTGGGAAGGAAAAATACGGCCTACCTTTCACATTTGCAACTGCTTCAGGAGCAGCTGTCAAAGAGAAAGACAGACGTTTAGTCAAAAGCACATTTCTATCCAGACAATTCCAAGCTCAGCACTTCACTACTTCTCCACGTTTGCTAAATGAAGATGAAAGCGCATGAATGATTTTAACCTGATATACACTGTAATGAAACTACAATGTTTTGCATTTTAAGCCTTCTTGCCTCTTTTTCAATATCCACAGGTACCTTCTGACTGTCAGGCAGGCTTTCCTTTGGTCGATCCATCTTGTCCTCTTTACTAGGTCTGCATGCCAGCAGGCCAAAAAACAGCTTGATCATTGATATTCAAAAACTCTCCCAGACAGCAAGCAGTTCCTATGAGACCCTGCACATTCTGCACATTCTGCACATGGGATGTACCACAACCCATTTGCATCTGCAGCCACATTTATCAGCTCAGGCTTCCCTGTGCAGTCGTTCCCAGCTGTGCTAAGAGGGCACCATGGGAAAGAGATGCCAGTGGTAGCGGGGTGGTGTCAGTGCAAAAGGCATGAGGAGCTGAGCACTGTGCACGTTGAGCTCCAGGCTGTTGGCAGGCAGGAGAAAAGCAACTGTTAAATAATCTCTTGGAAGGATGCTGAGCTCTCTGTAGTGGAATATTTGCCTTGTTCTGATAAACCACTCTGCTGGAGAGCCTGGCAGCAGGGATATGTGCTGGCATTGTTTTGGCATTGCACTTAAGGGCCATTCACTAACAAACCCAGACAACAGAATAAGTGTAGGTGCTGAGTGTGTGCTTTCTGCCATGGCTGGTAACTAGGAATTAACTTTCTGAAGTGACTTTTCCTCTAGTTGCTCAAAGAATACAAGGAGTTGCCTCAAAAGAGGAATTTTCCTTTTCTGAAAATACTCTGCAATCACTACCAGTGTGTACAGCTGCCTTCCTCACCAGATGCAGCTCTGCTCTGCTAGGAGAAAGGGCAGAACCTCGGAAACACCCCAAACCCTCGGTTTGCAAAACAGAGCAGGAAATAGTACTGTTGTTTTTTCTTCTTCTTTTTCTTTTTTTTTTTTTTATCCTGTGGAATTAGCAGTTAAAGTCAAAAATACCACATGGCTCTTGGCTCACTGTATTCTGATATTTCTGCTTCCTGACCAAAACAGATGGTGCTCAATTACATAGAAACACAACATTAAAAAGTAAATGCTAACCAAAACACTTCTACTATTTTTAAAGGTCACTATACATCTTCTGGATTTTGCTTCCGTTCTGTTATTATTGAAATGGAATTGCTTCATCTATCTGTTGCTGGAACAGCGTGTAACAGTACAGAAAGAGGAAGAAAAGCAAATTATTGATACAAGTCTTGTTCTGTAGCAAAGGTTTGATGTTAGAAGGAAGAAATGTGTGTTTATCAGAGGGGAGCAAAGCCACAAAGAGTTTAACAATTTTACAGAAAACATTGAACTTCTTTAGTTGGGTACTGAAAACTCATTACAGAATGTGAGAAAATCTGAAGTTACAATGCAGTAAAACATGATGAGGTGTCTATTTGTTTGTAACACTTTTTTTCTGAATGTTGAAATAAGCAATAGAGAAAAGTCCATAAACCATTTTATGGGATTTTTCATGTGCTTTTTATAATAAACATATTGCGCGTTACTACTGCTAACAGAATACCATAACATCAAAAGCATATATTGAATTAGTTACTTACTCTTTGGTGTCTTACAGATAAAACCCTTTCTGGAGGAGCAAGGGATGCTATTCCAGGACCCAGAGGAGGCAGAGAGCTGCACACAGTACTCGTTCTCATGCTGCTCTTCCAAGGGCTCTGCTTCACCCCAGTTGACAAAGTCCAATGCACTGTTGTCTTGCCAGAGCAGCTGCCCTGGTGTTGCAGATATTTTAGCAGTACCAAGCGTTACATATCAAAGATCTTCACTTATGTTTATTTTTCCTCTATTAATTAATTTACTCAGCCTAATAAAGTGATACCACTTCCACTATTTTGTGGCTATTTTATAATGTATTTTTTCTTACTCCCCTTAAAAACAGCATAATTGCTTTTCAGTATAATTATTTAATTTTCTCTATTTGTGAAGCTTGACAGAACTCCAGCCAGACACCAGCAGTGCAGGCACTGCCCAGCCAAGAGCAGGCTGGAGTGTGGAGGACATTCCCAACCAGACACATAGAAAGCTGGTGGGAATATTCCTTCCAATAGACCTGGCAGCGCTGTGCTGGCAGGAAGGCATATACCCTTTGTCCAGGCAATAACCAAGATCCTTCACTGGAGCCAAGCAAACTTTTTTTTCCTACAGACTGTCACAGGTATTGTTTAAAATAACAAACTACCAGTAATTTTTAAATATATTTTTTGTCTTTACCCAGAATCAGTTCATTGAAAGCAAAAATATATCTAAATCATACTTCCATTTACTGTACTTAATGAATATTATTTATGACCATATGTAGAAATTAGTATAGTTACCACTTATATTTCTGTATAATCCTATCCAAAAGCCACTTGTCTTGCTTGTGTATAAGTCTGCATGTTCTGCCAGGAAGTTGGATTCAGCCAAGTCTTCTACAGAAGTCAGCATTCCACCTATCATATATAAGAAAGAAAAGAGAAGACAGTTGGAGGTATTCCCTAAGATAGAAGTCAGCGAAAATTAGAGGCTCAGATATAGGGCAACTTTAATAATAAATCCCCTCCTTGATGGCAGGGAGTAAGGAAGGGTTAATGTAGAGACTAGAAAGTAGCACAGGTGAACAGCACAGGCTAGCAGAAATATTGTTTGAAATGAAAGATATGAAAAGCATGACAGGTGAGGACAAAAGAATGATGAGTTTGAAACATCAGGCAAAAAAACAACATAATATTTTTCAAGTGTTTGGATAATATTTTTCATAGATATTATGAGTGATTATTTATTCTTAATGGATTTGACAGGCTGATACATAACAGATAAAAGTACTCAGCAAACAAATTTGCAATTCAAACTGCAAGATTAATTTTTCTGGCAGAGGAGGCAAACTATAAGTGGAGGAGGAGAAAACTAAGAGGATCTAATAGGATGTGAAACCAAAGGACCTGTTATTTTGGGCAGAACAGTGCTTCCCTTTCTCCTTCACAGCTGCCTGAAGTAAGGATGAGGTACCTGGGTATAAAGCAGTTCAGCACTGCAGGCGGCACATGGCCAAGCAGCAGTTCATGGTCTTGGCCAGGGCGAAACTCCCCCCCAAAAGGATGGAGGGAGACATTTGCCCTAACCTGGCTCTACAAACTGCCAGGAAACCCATCTGTGAAGTGAGGGCTCTCAAGCAGTTCTTGCAATCCCCTTCAGATCACACATCATAGAAATAAGTAATTGCTATTATAGTATTTGATTCTACTCTTGCGTAGCGAGAGATACAGAAAAAGTAGAGATAGGGATAGAGATAAGTTAATCAATTTCTACACTTCACTAAAAATAGAAGTTCTGTGAACGGACTAAAAAAACCAGAGTCAAGAATAAGCACAGCTGGTAAGGAAAATAAATAACCAATAAACCAAAGGCAACTAATCACCTTAATTTCAACATAAGTGATAAGTGAACGGTATCAATGATGAATCATGACATTAATGTCTTTTTTTTTTTTTTTAATATACACAGATTTTGCAACATTGTCAAGATTTTTCAAAAGCGTCTATTTTTTTTTTTTTTTATGTCAATATTGAGATCCCAACTTCAAATGAAAGCGATTACTACCTGACTGAATGCATCGAGTCACAGACTGAACCCAGCTCATTTCATTGGCATTAAAGTAATAGCAGTAGCTACGGAAAGGAATCCAAGCTATGTGACCTGACTGAGGACATCTTCCAATATCCTGTGGAGGATCAGAAGAAAGTATATCTGAAAGAAATGAAACATTATGGATGCTTTCACTGATTAGATATTGCAGTTCTTTGGATATGAAAAAAAAAATATTTAAGATTAAAAAAAAAATTAAAAAAAATTCTTAAAAGTAGTGACAATCTACTTCAGTACACACTGCTAGAATTCCCAGTGTCTATGCTGAAAGTGACAGTGAGGAGCAGAACTGAACAGTCACAGCTGAAAAGTGCACCTGCAACCTTCAGTGTTACCAGCTGAATTAAACTAGGACTGCTCAAAGGATATCTGTGTGTTCAGGGCTTTTTAAAATTCCAGTTACTTGTTATGAGTGTCAGCTTCATACAAATAAGAGATACAGTAAAAAGCAGATTAAAAAAACCATAAGGTAGAAAACCTAACCATTTGATTTTAAATGAGACTCCTACTAAACTTTAAGTTACAACTGAAATTTTTAATCTAATGTTTTCCTTGATATGATAATTCTTACATAGTTTTACTGCAGACAATGCATGGAATGATCAGAAACTCACTGAATTTTTATGTAGTTGCCCCCATTTTCCAGCAGGCAATGACATTATAGAGTGAAACAGTGACATTGTCAGTTAATACGTACATTTTTAATTAAAAAGAAAATTGAAAATGTTTGGCATAGAAAAGAAATCATAGCCACACTACAGAAAAACAGTTCAGAAGAAACTCAGAATTTCCATTAATGCTGCTTTAGAGCTAACATCACTAGGGCTAACATCACGATCTAGGACAAGTGGGACAAGTGAGAAAACAAAGTTTGATCCCGCCCCACAGTATGACAGAAGCATTTTAATTTGTAGCATTCTCCTGCTGAATGATGAGTTCATCAAAATAAAATATTTTTCTTGCAGAACAAAGGTATTATTCCTTAATATATACTTAGAAATTTGTAGGTTAGTCAAGGCAGATTCAGGAAGGTTTCTGCCTTAAAACCAAATAGCATCAAACTTACCCTCCGATTTTTTGCAGGCAGAAAAGTGTTTTTCATTACAAGGTGCTGTTTTCCATTCCCCACTGAGATCTAGGAAGACACATGCCATTTTCTCTTTTGGTTCTTCATAGTGCCAATTAGAAAAATCAATTTTCCTTTTATCGCTCCATCTGTAGTACCCATAACTCTAGAATTGAAACACACTTTTTAATATAGTTTTTCCACGTCCTCATCTTCCACTGCAGATAAGCAGATTTCCACACAAATGCACAATTTTGCAGTGAGGTGTAGAACTCGGTATATCTGTGCTTGCACTATTAGAATATTAACCAAATCAAAACACAGCAGCACAAATTTAAGACATAGCAGAATGCCTCCAATGCTGTAACAGCCCATGAAGGTGTTTTGAAGGCTAGATGGTGCTTCCAAGGTTCTCTTGGTGACAGTCCCTTGTTGGATGATGTGAGGAGGCAGGTAAGCACAAAGACCAAAGTGACCATGAGAAACTCAAAGCCTGCAGAACCATCAGGAGGAATCAGGGCTATGAAGGTAGCTGTCAGACAAGGACTCTTGAGTTCAAGTGCAGCTCTGAGAAGAAACATTCAGGAGTAAATGCAGCTACTATCATGAAAACCTGAGAAAATTAGAAGTTTCTTAGGAGTGAAAGATAAACACAAGGGAGCAGAAGCTTTTAAATCAAATACACAAGCTCCTCTTGAGCTCAGCACAACTTGGGCAAGGTCACTGCCTGGGGAACAGGAAGAACCTCAGAATTTCACCCTACAAGAGCAAGGTCAGATTCTTTACAGATGTTTGGATCATCACATATCTTCCTGCCAGACTTGTTCATAATTATTAACAGCTTTCTAACACATTTCTATGATTATCACCCAGCTTTGATATTAAGTGGACTTAAACACCAGCATTTGTTTTGGAAAGAGGTCTCCTGTGGTGTTCTGCAAATGTGGAGATCTGTGTCAAGCTCAGTGACGCAGTCACATACCAAACACAAAGACATTCTGAGATTCTGTCTAGTACGGAAAGGCACTGTCAGAGGCCATAAGATATATTTTTTTCAGCAACAGCTGCACTGTCTCATGCACTGTGGCCTTTTATTAGTGCAACTGCATCGTATAATCAGAAATGTCATCATTACACAACATTAATTGCAAGATCTCCCTAGGGATACTGTAGGTTCAAACATTTTACTTAGTTATATGTCAGTGTGGAATCACAATCAGTGAAAACAATGACAAGTGAAGAAATCTATTACTCATGAGAGAACTAAACTTTAATATCAGTGTAGTTTACTTAGCTCAAATAAAGATGCAAGAAAAGCATGTTGATAATGTAAATGAATTGAGGAATGACATATTTATCTGAGAAGCTGACACTTACTTTGGCACACAGTTACAGAGCTAATGCTTACTCCAGTGTTTCTCTAGACAGCAATGGACCTGCATCATTCTTCACTTCTTTGTGATTCACTTTTTTGGATGCAGTTTTTTGTTTGTTTGTATGTATTTTACTCTTACTGCTCTTAACCGTATGGACTTTGTGTGTGTAACAATGAAGGTGGTCAGAGGCATATGAGGTCTCTATGAGACCTTCTGATCTAAAATTAGTGATGAAAACACAGCTGCCAACGATCACAAGGCTCTATCATTAATGACTTTGGTGGTTCCCTTGAGTAGTATTCATCTCTCCTAAAAGCGGACATCTAAAAATTTACCAGGTAGTTTGACGTGTGTGTACCCAAGATTCCCATACTGTTAGTAAAGAGATCAATGCTGTCAGAGGCTTCCATCCTTCTCCATTGCCTGGGATGAAGTTTAACATTTTTAAGATGATAAAGCTAAATGAAGTGAGTGTTGTCCACCATTTCTAGGCTCCCAAAACCTATTCACGCTACAGATCTCCCTCTTTTAAGAACAATATAATCAAATAACAGCATTTAACCACAGCAATCATCAACTTATTAATCTTACCATATTGCTATTGAGTCCAATCCATAAGGGCTCACCATATTGTGCTGCCTGGAGCAGGAGAAATATATTACTGTAATAATCTGAAATGCTGGCAAGCTCTGAAGATTTCACTCTGCAGGCTTTTCTTGCTTCTTCCCAACTCATTTTAGAAGGAATGATTAAATAGCTACTGTTACCATAATGGAAGAAGTCAGAATCTGGAGCAGTTGTGGAATGGAATAGTTCAGGCTCTGCAGACAGATTTGAGAGGAGGAAGAGAAAACATTGATAGTTCCTAGCTGCCTAAAAAGCAGTATAACTTCTCAGTAATGATTAACATAGCGTAAAACACAGATATTTTGATATTTTGCTACAGGCATTGAATAAAACCATTTATCATTTAAGATGCAGGAAATATTTAATAAAAGTAACTTAGAATTGTTTGTAACTATAATTTACATAGAGTACTTAGGGATTAGGGAGAAGCAGATTCTGCAGACATACACTGCCACCAGATAATGACTGGACTAGGAGATCTTAGTGGTCTTTTCCAACACTAATGATTTTTTTGAAAACTTATGAATATGGGTCACAAAGCTATTCACTATCCAGTTCTCTCCTGGATTCTTCCCCTACTGCAGTGCAAGTGAAATTCGTCTCAGAAAAGTATGGAGCAGGATCTCCATGCCCTCTGAGTTTCAAAAAGGGTGAATTTCATTCTAATATCAGTTCGTGACTCTCCTTCTTTTCTGTGCAGGATAAATCGAAAAAAGAAATTGTATTTGCACCTTAAATGGTATATATGGAAGTAGAAAAGGTGGTGCTGAGTACAGTAAAAGGGCATTCATGTTCATACAATGCTGAAAACACCCTAAAGTGGTGTTATTAGGGATGCACTTGTGCATCTCCCTGCCACTGCATGGGGTATAGCACCTGGCCCAGCTGTGGCTTCCCCTTGTATTTTTAGCCACAGAACTTGGCTCACTACTCAGCAGTTCCTGTTTCTCTTCCTGCAGACTGCAGCATAGCTGTTCTTTGGTTATGTCTCCCACCCTGAGGATATATGAAGACGCTAAGAACTTTTGTCCTTCTGATCCTTAGTCTTAAGATATAAAAGCATTGCAAGAAACTGATGGGCAACATAACCAGTTTTACTGACCTTAATTAACCCCTCCAAGAGAGGCATGTGAGAGGTTTTGGTGAGAGGGTTTGCCTTTGCCAGCTAACCTTATTCAGATATCCTTATCTGTGCCTGTTAATTAGGTCATAGACAGCTAAATTCCTTTTGTGAAATGAGAGAAACAGGATTTTGAAGGCACAGATCACCTAACTTGCGTTGGGCACTTCTGTCAGGATCAGATGTATCCTGCCTCCAAAGAGTCCACTATGTGTGGGCAACCAGCCTGTATGTGCATCTCTGGTCTGCAGAGTGGGTGCATTCAGCTCCCCTGAAAGCTGTGAGGGGAGGGGCTGTAAAACACAAATTCTTCTGTAATTCTTATCCCAGAGCAAGCTTCATATCTGAAATTTTTGAGCTAGGAAAGGAGCCTTGCTTGCTTCGCCTCAATTTCAGTAGACATAAGAAGGCAACTGTAGTGGAAGACATGTGTGCTCATGTTATCCAGTACCAGTCTTCCAACAAAGAGCATGAAAAATAGAACTTACTGCTGTCCATCTGGCAAATATAGCTTTTGTTGTGATGGCAGTCTGTGTTTTCCCACTTCCCTGCTTCATTTACAGACCTTACCGTCATCGCAATACAGTCAGTCTAGGGGAAAAATAGAAAAGAAACTTATAGGTGATAAAATGAAAGAATGAAAGATACCTAGCAAATAGAAAGGTCTAAGGAGGCCTTTTTTTTTTTTTTTTTTTTTTTTTTCCTTTCCTTTTCTTTTTGTTTTACTTATCACTTCTTGGAAAAGAAATGCGTCTTGGTTTATATCTTGAGTACTTTCCTTGGCATATTACTATAAGAATGTTGTCAGTTTCTTAAATTTTTTGAGTGCAGAAAAGATATTTTTAATATAGTTTATGTTAACCTATACTTAATTTGCTGAATCTTTAATTTGCATTCACGCTGTACAAAGAGAATAATAAAATGAAGTAAGAAACAACAATGCTTATTATTTTCAGTAAAATCTAATAGGTCTAATAACTCTAACTGCAATAAACTACAGCAGTCCTTTTCTACAGTTATAGTCTTCTGCAAAGGAATGAAGATAACTACATGCACTTAACAGAACTATTAATCTCTGGGTCAACTTTTAAAACTTCTACTCAGTTTGAGGATGCTGTCTAAGTTATGCATGTACTGATTTTATTTCCTGTTTACCCGTATTGTCTCATACCTTCCAGCCAACTCTACTGTATTTACCCAAGGGGAATCCTCTTGCCCAATATGCATAATCATAAGGGCTTCCATCTGTCCAAACATATGAATGCTTATCATTTAATCCTATCCAAGTCTCATTTGTGACATCCTTTAGATGGAAAGTGAGGAATGCTAAAAGAAAATAAATTTTAAAATGAATATTTTAACTGAAGTAGTTTCATTATATTAAAAATATAAAATAAGCAGTTTTTAATATAAAAATGTTACTCAGAGAACTCTTGTAAATATTACCAAAATTAGGGCTAGAAGGAAGTTTGAAAGAATTAATTAGTCTTCCTAAAGTTAGCATCAACTAATTTTACATATGTCATTTCCAGTGGAAATTTGTACACTTTGAATTTCTGAGGGCAGTTCAAACATTGCTATTTATCACATTTTCCAAGGCCATAGGGAACAGATTATTTTTGTCTTTCCACCCTATACTGTTGCCAAGAGATGAGAAGCATCAATAACTCACTCCAATCTGTGTTCTGGATCAAGCAGCTTTGGATTTTCCTTCACAGGGGCTACATAGATGGGGACTGCTTAGATAGGTACTATTTAGAATTGGAGGCTATTTTGGCTGTTGTAAAACATCCAAAATTACAGTTAGTGGAAGCAAAGAATGAGTTTTGGAGAAAAGAAGAGGTGCTGGGAAAGGCCAAAGGGATTCTGGGGGTGATGGATGAGAAGGAAGCAGAAGATTTGGATGTCTACGGACAATAGGTTTCTTCCAGTGTTGCCTCCTTCTTCTCCTTCTATCCTCTAACAATGCTGATTCATGTTTAGTTTGCAGTTCAGCTTCAGATCTTATTAGGGCTACTGACATTTTGTTTTCATGCAAAAGATTACTGGTATGTTGATATAGTTGTTTGCACCTAAACTCATTCAATTACTTCCTTCCCTTCTCCATCCCTTCCCCATCCAAAAAACAAAAATCTTGTCAAGAATGTTTCAAATTCTAACCCTGACCTCCATCATGCCACTACATCACCTGAAAAGGTGACATACGTATCGCTTGTTGAAATGGTTAAAAAGAGATATTGAATATTACAACAGTCAGGAGTTTTTTGGAATAACATTTTCTGCCCTCACCCTGGAGAACTACTGGTGACCAATGCATAGTTTTCTGAAGATACTTCTGACCTTGTAAAAGGGGAACTATGAGAAAGGTGGTGATGGGTTTATCATACAGTGGGATCACATGAGTATTCATCTTTACAGTCATTACATGATTATTCTACAATTTCCCCATGACTAGCAATGCCAGCAGGTTCTGTGTAGTGTCATCAATACATACAGAACCTGAATGTTTTGATCCAGTGCAAAATAGTTACGTCATTTCAAAGTGCTCACATATTTAGAAATCACAAGAATTCACTTGGCCACAACATCCACAGCTACAGTTTTAACTAACAATTATAACCTCTTTGGTGAGATTTACTGGCTTTGCGGCTAGCACCAAAAGTTGAGATACCATACCTTGTACTTGAGCATTGTGTATAGAGGCCAAATTTCCCCCTAGTTCTATACAAGCACTTCTTGCTGAGTACCAAGTCAGTCTCTCTTCTTCCCTGGACCCAATTATTTTATAACACTGTAGGGAGAGTAAATAATTAAGCAAAATTTCAGGTGTCAAAGAGAATTATATTTGATTTGATTCATCAGTCCCTGCATACAAAGAGCAGCAGTTGAGGGAGCTGCTGAAATGCCATACATTCAGCCAATGAGGAGTAGACACAGCTAATCACAACTTTGTGTGTGCAGGGCTCAGACCCATTGCTGTCCAAGGTTAACCTTTGAAGAGAAGGCAACTTTCATAAGCTGAAGAGAAATTAAGCAGATATACAAGGAGGAATCACATTACTTTTCAGGGACTTAAAATATTTCTAGATTGGGATTTTGCCTTAGGGCAGATATCTCTCTAGCCTAGTTCCCTCAATTGCAAGCCACAGACAGTAGTAGTAGCAGTTTTCCTATTTGTGTTATGGGATTGAACTGTGCTTTTTTCTTTGTTAATGCTTATGTGATTAGGTGTACTCTTGCTTGGTTTAGCAAAAAACAATACTTTGTTGGTTTTTTGTTTTGCTTTGTTTTTTTAACAATTAATTTACAGTTTGTTTTACTCAGCTTAATTGTTATGGCATCTGGTTATGTTCAGAAATCACGATCTTTCATTTTGCAGCTCAGTGTTATCTAGAAAGATGGAGCTGCAATTACACATCAGGATATTGGAACAGTATTTCTGTGCAATAAAGATGTCTAAAATAAAAAGAAAGTTACAGAAACCAAAGAAGTAACAATGGCTAACTGCATTTGAGCACTCAGAAATTATAATTTAATAAATGTAAGTTCAGAAACAAGAAACAAAAAAAAAAACCACAAAAGTTGACTCCACTGCTAATTAGAATGCCACTTAAGAGAGTAGTGTATAAAATGGGTGTACTTATGCAGTTATTTATAGCTAGTCTTCTAAAAGCTGCTGATATTTGTTACTTATTGTGTATACGTACCTTATTTTGAAACAAAATCCACATTTCAGGACATCCTCCCAGAGGCGGAAGTACAGTGGGAACAAATCCTGAGTAAGTTGAATTGTGCCTTTCACAGATGAAGGCATTTTTCAAACCACAGTTTATATCGTTCCAAAAGCCTGTAAATAAAAGAAATGCAATCAGTCTGTCAAACACTCCTACTGCCATTGCAGAAGCTAACCCAGCCAACATTCATAACTGACAAGCATAACCTTCCAGAGACATATAACAGTCGAGACAGTCGACATTTACACTAGCAGCCCAAACAGAGCCCTCTTCCCACTGCAGTACATTAGTCTTCTATGAGCACTGGCATACATTTAAACCTTAATGTACTTGTTATGAAAAATAGTTTCCACTGTTCAGCAGCCAATGGGGAGCCTTAGGTTTAAACAGGTGGCAAAACCTTTAGCTTTTGATGAATAAGCCCATTAAGATATTTGACCAAATGTTTCTTGTTGCTGTTTTACTCACCAAAATCTTTTCTCATTACCACACAGTTTTCATCATTATGTGAATAATTGGGTTCTCCCGGAGCCCAGGCAACATAGTTCACAGGGGTTTTACCCAGCCAGCTGAAAAAAAAAAAACAACAACAGATGGTTGCCATACAGACATCTCCAGCAGCCAATTTGAGTTATGAGTGTTTAGCAGAAGGGCTGAGCAAGGTATGATTAGTGACCAAAGAACAAAGGCTCTACATATACTGAGAGGACAGATCCACAGCATTAGTGCTGCCTCTCACCTGTTCAGTGCTGTCGCACTAAAGTGCCATCAGTGTCCCGTTTGACCAAAGGCTGGATACATAGTGTTGGACTCGGCAGCTTCTAACAGTCTGGATGAGACTGTAACACCAGATCATGGACTTGCCTTTCATTTTAGAAAGGTATCCTCATGAAAGTCTTCTACAAACAGATTTCTAAAAAGGTTACCTAACAGGAATTTCAGAGAGCTGTGAGATGCACAAGCTTCAGGCTCACATAACTTGAGCCAGTGGGATTTCTCTGGTTAAATGTTTCTGTGTGAACCTCCAGAGTTTCTACATAACTATTAGAGATCTAAGTCTGAGTTAAACCCATCATAAGGTGGATGTCTAACACCACAAATCTTGCTGTTTATGTTCATTGCCTGTGAAGGGATGCCTGGGTCTTAAATTCACATCTCTCAGTGTCAGACAGCAAGTGAAATGAGTGTTACCCATGAAATTTTACGTTTGCTTGCCTTGATTTGGAAGGAACACACACTGTTTTGCTTAAGTATAGAAAAAAAATAATATCCCTCATCTCAGACTTCTGAAACCTACCAGAGTTCTGTCACACAAGTGTTATTAACTAAAGAACACACAAGTACCCGTACCCATAGAGCAAGATTAAATTACTTTTTGCTGTCCATTAACAGCTTTAGTACTCTTCTTTTACCCACCTGAGCTTCCGATCAGAACTGACAAATAAGCCAATGAAATATGATTCCTCTTGGAGAAATACACCACTCAGTTTTCTGTTAATCTAAAACAGAAGTGATTGGCACAGTTAACAACTGGACAGTTCTTCAGCTGTATTTTCGGTTGTTTCACAGTCTCAAACCTGGGCTGCAAGAAGGCAACAGATGCAGGATCTCTGAACTATTCTTTGCTACACCTTTAAAATTCACATGCCTTTTTTCTCTTCCTACTAAAGACAGTAGTAATGTCTAAAGACAGTGGAAATTACTGGAAAAATGTACCATAATACAAATATGTAATATAGGACAGAAACTCAGGATTTTAGCCTGGATAAACAACTAAAATCTTTTTATTTTTTCATCTGCTCTGCATCAGAATTGAAACGTCCCTCATCAGCATTCTTGGCTGCTGATCTCAAACCTTCAGGAAGGCTGGAAAGTCTCAATGCCCACTGCCTGCCAGTGAGGATGAAGCTCAGGTTCCTGTTTTGTGCTGGATGCTTCAAGACCAATGCAATAATTTTACCAAGCAGTTAAAATAAAAAACAGTGAAATTCTTAATGGATTCAAAAGTGCCCACAACCAATGTGCTCAGTTAATAATTAGTACATATATATAAATAAAAATCGTAATTACTATGTAAATAATAATAGATAATCAGAAGGTTCAGTGCTTACATATTTCCAAATAAGCTGTCTTTCATTTTCATCCTCAATGACAACAAGATCTGCAAAGTTCCTCTGGCAAATTCTCCGTGCTTTTTCCATAGGGACACGTTCTCTGCTGAAATAGTACTGCTTATCTTTGTATATAATCCACCCATCAGCAGTTTGTACAGCTTGATATTCTGGAAGATAAAGAAAAACATATTTGACATCATATCATATCTGTACAAAGTCCAAAAACTATACAGTAAAATTTCCACTGAAAGAGGAAAAAATCCTACCGTGTTTGTTGTTTGGTTCAGGTTTGAGCAGTGTACCTGTAAAATAAAAGGTAATTATGAGCAATGTTCCAAACACAAAACAAACAATGGGGAAGTCGCAAGCCAGATAGATTTGATTTGTAATGTTATACATGGATCTCCAGGTGCACCAGGCTAAATAATAACGTTGCATGCTAAAAAAAATGAGATAATTAACTTCAGTCCATCTCCCCTTTCATAGGGATCTCATCTAATTGATACACATAATAACAAGGTTTAATTATTTCCTTTATTTTATTTAATTTATTTATTTTTACTACTGAGAGTAGTAGTCAAGTACCCTAGAGTCAAGATGAGCTGACTGGAGTATCTCTGCCACAGTTTGTGAATTCCTCCTGAGCATCTCACAAAGCCTTCTGTGCAGTGCAGCAGGCTCAGCATGTCTGCAGGGCTGTGCAGGATGTGCTGGTGAGCAGCAGTGTTCTGCCAGTGTGTGTGAGAACTAATCAACCCACAATGGAACAGGGATTCTTCCAGTTCAGGTAAGTAATTTTCCAATGGTAATATGGTGCATTTCTGGCTATTTGTTGGCAGAGGTCCATTAGATATACTCAGTGATGTTTGCGCAGCTGCTTCTCCTTTCTCCTCCCTATCCTTCCTCTCACAATTTCCCCATGTGCATCCACCTTCCTTTTAACTTCTGGGAGCTTTTAAAGTAGATCTAGGAGTCCTTCAGGGCTACAATAATTCTATTTTTGATCAGCTTTTCAATATTCTAGTTCCCATAGCAACTTAACCCTCTCTCTAGTTCCCATTATCTGTCTTACAATGGGAACCAAACCTTTTTTTTTTTTTTTTTTTTTATCTTTTGCGTAGGGAACTCAGTCTCCTGCATCTTCAGGTCTCCTCTGTGAACCCATAGAAGATAGCAAGATAAGGAGATTTTTATCTGCTTTTATCTTCTCCTTGTCTTTGTAAGGAGATTAAGCATCTTTGCCTTGCAAATTTATTCAACCCACATCTAAAAGAGATAAAGCCGGATATAAAGCAATTTCTTGAACTTCCCACATCTGAGTACAACTGAAATATCTCAATTTGTTCCTCTTGCTTTAAGTGTTACCTTCACCGCTCTAGTTTTACAATGAAAAATTCCCAATGCATTTCTTCTTTAAATTCGCTGACATCCATATTTCTTTTTGAATTGTGCTTATCACTCCAATTAAATGGTGAAGTAGTCGTACCTTTTTTAGTTTCACAAATCCAATTAAGCAAATGTTCACAGTACAAGTCATTCCAGCGCATTTGTGGTGATCTATTAAGCATAACACAGTGCTCAATTCCTTTATCATTATTAGGTTCATCTTCATCCCAGTTCTCATAAATTACCTGTGTGGGAAACACAGCTCATTCACTACGTGCTTTGAACAGAGTGGAAGTAATTGAGATTTTTGTCTCTCAGTGTCATGGTCTCATCAGCCCAAGCAGCTCATTTATGCAATCGAAAGGAGTTCAGAAATCTCTGATCAGGCTGGGGAGGTCTTACTAATATGTTCACTTTCCATCACTTCCCAGAAGTTAAAAGATTACACTTTCTAGAAAGCATGGAGGAAAAATAGACGCATGGAGGGAGTGACATTAATCTGACTCTGTAAGAGATGGCGAGCTGACTTCCCCAAATCTGTCATGCAGCAGGGGTATGGGTGTGATGAAGACCTAAGAGCACATGCAGTGGAATATGGGATATAGCATGGTGCGAGTGATGAGGATAGTTATGAGTGATGTGCTTCCAGAGTGCTGAGACAGTGCCATTGCTGAGACAACTGCTGCAGCTGTTCAGCTGATGGTGAACTGCTGCCCTACAACAGCTTAAAGAGGTTGGAAAAAAGCACTAAAACCATGAAAATCTACATGTTATAAAAACTATGAAAAAAAAAATAGTATCCAGCAAATAAGTACTCACAGGAGAACCATCAATCCAGGTAAATCCTTCGTCAGGATTTAAGAGAAACAAACCCATCCAGAAACCCTGAGTTTGCAGTCCTTTTTCCCTGAAAGAAATCATACAATATCGGTACATCAATGCAGAAGAGGAGCCATATAAATACTGGAAAGCATAAAAACATGCAGCTTTGAGTCACATCTGAAGCAGGAGCTACTCCTTCCCTGCTGGCCCATAGCCAAGCTCATTAACTGTACTCTTTGACGTGGAGTTCCCAAAGTTCTGTGCTGGCATGGGACATGTTGAAGTTAATTTGGAGGAGAAGTGGAGTAGCACGGTGCTAGCACAGGTCCCATACTTGTGGCTGAAGTACAGTTCCTAGTTCCTAGCAGGAATTCATAGAAACAGCTTTTAATAAAAGTAAACTGTGACTAGAGAGCTATGATGCAATCTAATAAATGAAAAAGTAATTACTTTTTCAACTTCTCTAATTTCCTCCATGGCACTTCTTGTGATGGCACTTGATGGCAGTATGGCATCTACAATGTTAATATAAATGAATGAAAATTAATTCATTTGATTTGAGGAGTCTTCAATTTATAGGCTAGTAATTTCCACAAGGATTTTTTTGTGTTTAAGTTTTTTTGAATGTATGTATTAAAATATGAATCGTAACCATTAAAAAACCCACACAATTAGAGCTGAACATTTTAGTGCCTCCTTTTTGGAAGAACTGGTTCACATGTACAAAGTTGATCAGATCTGGAGAGCAGCCTTAACAAGAAACTGTGATGAAAACTTCAGAATTTCAAAGCTACATGAAAATATTCAAGTTGAAATATGTATATTTAAAATATCACACTGAATTGTATTTCCAAATGAAAGCTATTTTCTTTTAAAGTTCATCATTTTTATTCACTTAATACTCAGCTCCTAATGTATCTTATTATTTAGCATAACATGAACATAAAAAAGAATGACTGTGCAAGTACTCACAATGCTAACTGCCATATGAAAACTTGATCTTCTTTTGAATTGATTGTGACCAGATTTCCTCCTATTTCTCTACAGAATTCTTCAGCTTCAAACCAATTCTTCTTTAGGTTTTTGTCCCTCACAAAGAACTATTGAGAAAAAAATTGTGATAAGTTACAAAATATAAATATAAAGTTTGATGTAAAAATGTGATTTGCTGTGTAATTGAGATCAATATTATTTTAGAATCCCCTTAAAACTTAGACAGCGTCTTTCAAGACCTATAGTATTAAACATCAGTCATGTAGATTGTAACTATATTTTTTCTCTTCTATTTTAAAATAGCGAGGGAAGATTAGCCTAGGTTTCAGGGAAGAACAAAAAGTGTCACAATAGTTTATAACTTAATTAGAGCTTTGAACACCGAAGGGCTCAAAGAAAAACAGAATTGACTAGTCTTAGTACTGTGTAGTAGAAAGCAGGAGATTATTGAGAAATGGGAGGCAGGTAAATCAATATGTTGAAATAGGAAAGATAATATGGATGGAGACAGACATTTTGAAAGGGGCTGAGGAAGAGCTTTTATACAGCACTGCAAGCTCTGCATCCTAATACGAAGTACACATGGTCTTGAAGAATGATGCTTGACATTTTGGGGCAAGGATAAGCAGCAAGCAGATACACAGAAAAATCAATAATGAGTAACAACAATTAACTGGCTGTGACATAAAAGTTGATACCCTTGTAAATAAAAGGCTAAAATCATGTGTCCTTCTAGCAGGCAGAATCTCAGGAGAGGAAGGGGAAGGATGCTTACATAAAGACTTGGAAGAGCAATGTTATATATAATTGACAATTTACTTCATCTATTTTACTTTCTCTTTTTCCTTTTCAGAAATTTTTAGCTCAATCAAAAGAACATACAAAGCTTTTACTTGCTGAAGTGTCACCAATGGCAAACTAAATCTGGATCTAAAAGTATCACTAAAAACATTACTTCTGTGAAAGAAAGCTGTCAGAAGGCCAGACTCCCATCATCTTTCTCTTAGGAGACATTGTTTTATTCAAGTGACGCAGTCAGCTCTTGAGATTTAGTACCACACTTGTCTGAAGTTCCAAATTCTTGGAAGGAGATAAACGGGGTAAGGTTCCCACCTCTCATTTCTGTAAAATGAAGCTTATTTTTAGCTTCTCATTTTCACTGCTGTAAGCTCTTTCATTGTTGTGTTTTGTTATATTTGATGGACTTGTCTCATGGGTTTCTTTTTTATTTTTATGCACTTGAATTCCCTAAAGGAGATAATTCTCCAGAAATGCTCAGCACTTGGGTCCCTTCATGTCAGGCCAGGCCCTCAGGCTGGCAGGGCAGCGATGCACTGACCTTGAAGCAGGAGTCTGCCTGTGGGGCTCCATCCCAACCTCGGGCACAGGATGCTGCTGGGACCTGGGCAGGAGGAGCTGGCGGTAGCACTTCCACTGCCCTCTGCTTGCAAAGGAAATTTGCTGTCTCCTGGCAGCTAATGACATCCCATAATCCAGCATTGGCTCCAGTTCCCATGGCAACGCAGCCTTGCTCTTTCCCTTTGTGATACATAAAAGAAATAAACAAAATCAAAGTCTAATTGCTTTCTAGGAAATTAGATCTTTGTATTCATACAAAATTATGATATAAAGCTGCATATTATGCAGATTTTAAGCCACCATAGCTATGAAATTATTCTGAATATCTCTTGCCACAGCATAGAGATCGGTCAATGAACCTCAGAGACACACCTGTCCTAAAACTGGAGATTGCAGATTTAGGATACAAATGTTCCTTATCTTGCCACCCCAGGGAAATCACAGGGCACATAACACTTGATTTTATTTTCATCTGTAACAGATGGCCTGTCAACTGCTTTGAAGTTCTCAGAATCCAGGTAATTCAATTTCAGAAAGGATGATATCAAGTACAAGAAGTTTGTTTCAACACACAACTTGCTACTATGAAGACAAGAGCCTCCCGTCACCTTTTGTTGAAATGCAGAACAGCTGGACACCTGCTCTCCATTTCTCACCTGTGGGCCCCATGCACTGCCCATAATCAATTTCCTCAAAGTGATGAGTTGTTGTTAACAGCTATTAAAAATGTAAAAAAAAAAAAAAAAGAGAGAGACTATGGATCTTGTCAGCTCCTATTGCATTCAGTGTAGCCCATTAAATATGTTTCTATACAGATTTACAGGTAACTGAGTTACACAGCACCTGACACTCTGCTGTGGATGTGTTTTACACTGGGGCCAAAAACAAGGTCTGTTGATATTGGTCACCTACAGCTGTAAACACAAAAGTACCTTCTCTTATTTCCAGTACTAGGGGATAGAAAGCAGAAGTCTGCTTGAATTTCAGCCGGACTCTGATTACAAGGGTTGAGCTCATGCACAACTTACCTGGCATTGCTGAATTCCAGTGTGTGAAGGAAGGAGTTTCACCACTGGTCCACCTGAACATTCCTTGTTCTTCTATGTCAGAGAGACCGAGCCAGAAATACTTTTCAGACCTCAGCCCAGTCAGACTAATCAGGAAAGCTTGCTCATTCCTGAGGTGGAAAACATCATTGAAACACAACATATTGCCTCCCAATGCTGATCCAATTGGTACAAATAAGGCTATCATGCTAACATGACCTCAAGAGAACGAGTCCTCAGAGAAGTTCAAGCAAAACCTCAGCAAGCTTTAGTGTGGTTGAAAGAACTTGGTGAGGGACAGCTTTCTCTTTTCAGCTGAAGGCATCCTCTCCTTACTACCTGGTTCTGTGAAATGTCGAAAATCACCAAATCACCATTGCAAATGTCACAATGTGTGATGCCTCAAATCTACCAGCAGGTGAGAACTAAGCTGCAGCCAGATTTGCTACACATCACCTCTGAAAGCAGTGGTGTTCCTCAGAGGCCATGAAGTGCAAAGCCCATTTGAGATGGAGATAGGTGCCATAATACATTCTGGTTATGGTAGAAATATACTGGGAGAATCCCTACATTTGTTCAGAATTTGATGTAGAAGATGCTTAGGAATTTATTTATTTATTAAATTTCCTACATTTGATGAGATAGCGCTCCTCAGTAAATAAAGGAAAACAGTAGTAACCAATTTCCAAAAGAAAATAAAAAATAAAATAGGGGCTGCCTTGATTAGAAATTTAATACTAGGAGAAAATGGAACTCAAGAACCCTCAATATTTGAAAGCAATTTTAATTAAATAGAAATCCATAAAACATGAAGTCCTTTTTCTTTCCTATTACTGAATAATTTAAAAGTGTTACTGAAGTGCTTTCCAAAGCTTTCAATATGGGACAAATATTTTGAAGGTTTCTGAAGTAGAAGCACTAATTTTAAAGTAGAAGAATGATAATTTCCTACCTGGTTTCCACTGTAGCTAGATAAGCTTTGCTCTTCTCACATGTCTTATTTGCGTCTGAGAAGGTTGCAAGTGCAGAACCCACCAAATAACAGTGAAAACTAAATCTTTTCCAACCCTGTGAAGAAGAAAAGGATGACTTTAATGTGACTTGTAAAGATACTTCAGTATAGAAATTAGCTGTGCTCTTTTATATGTAAATATTTTATATTTAATTTGTTGCAGCTGGGATTAAAACAAGATGAGATTAGGCAAATTTGTTAATAAACAAAAACTATGAGATTTTTGTTATCTCTTCTCTTACAGAAGGCCTTTTTACTTAAATGATGATATTAAACTCTTCATTTCTTTTATGTGTACATGAATTTTCAAAGAAAATGACTGTTATCACATTTCAGTTCTCTGTAAGGCTGGATTTGTGCAAACATCACCATAATAAGGCAGTGATTCATTCAGGGGGAGCTGTGGCCACACATTCTCTAGTTGCAGCATCTGACATGATGAAATACAAAAGTATTCCAGTTCTGAAATTAATTCTTATAATTGAAAGGATACAATTATGTAACTGTATAAGCACCGTGCTTCAAAGCTGTGTCTGCCACCCTTGAAAGAATAGCAAGGAGACTTTCTGTGCCAAGAGGAACTCAGCCAGTGCTTGTTTGGGGTGTGAGTGGAAAGGAGGAACCTCACTAAAACACCCCTGCTTCTTTCTGTTATTAGAGAGATTACTGCTGACTAGAATAGATTTAATGATGCTCTAAAAAAGTGAATTTTGGAAGAAATAACCCACTGATATCATTAAAAGACCAAATAAGTAACCCACCAGTAGTCATACGGTACAGAAAACCCGATCTTCTTGTGTTTGGAAATTACTTTGTTTCTTTTAGAGTTCTTTCAATAGTAAAGATTTTGCTGTGAAAACTTTAAATAACAGATTTGAGAGACAGAACAAAGTGACTTCGGGCAATTTTGCATGTTTGGCTGTGAGTATAAGTAGAACGATAATGAACTGATGTAAAAGATGTATCTTGTTACGTTTACGTTATCGTTTACATTTAAGTAACTGTTTACATTCTTGAATATTTTCAGAGCAAAAATGAAGTATATGCATATATTAATTGTTTGTGGGAAAAAGACTAGGTTTCCTCAAAGAAACAAACACCAAGTCTCTAAAAGTATGAAGAGAAAATAAAATAATTAATGTTGATTTTCCGCAACATAAATCATTTATGAGACACCATTTACTTCCTGGCAGCCTGGGTCCTTGATCTTTTCTTCAGGAGACTTTGATGAGGGCTTCTTTTTACAGATGTAACCAAGTTGCCTATCACAAACATCAGTTGCCCAGTACCCATCCTAGAAGTGCAGAGAGAATAAACAAGTGTAAAAATAGGGGCATTTGTAAGCATAAGAAAATAATTATTTTTCTTCTTCACTACAAGATCCACTGATGTATTTTACGTAAGAAAACGATAGGAATTTTTAAGAAATCTCCATCAACAGAAAAAAAAGACCTTTGAGGATTGGTTTGAGGTTCATTTGATGCTGTTTTGAGATGAAAGAATGAAATAAATTAAATTTTGAAGTTTTGACTTTATTGGCTATTTCAACTACCTATTTCATGAGAGAGTTAGTAAAAGACCTCTCATCCACAGCCAAAGGATGCGCATTTATAGTCATGATATTTCATTATGCTTATGGCAAAGAGATCAATGAAACAGAAATAATGTACACCTAAATGTGTCATAATACACCCAATTATTTCATCCATCAAGGAGAAGACTGAAAACAACTGGTTTCTATTAAAGAAGGAATTATGTTAAAAAATAAAATTGAAATAAGACCTTTTTATTCATTAAATGTGGTTAATGTCTAATACTGACAGACATAAATATTTTTCTACATCATAGCACTTGTGCATTTTCAAATTCTTTTGTGTTTGTTTTTTTTCCATAATACTTTCTATATGTGTATGCATATGTGTGTAAATGAGTACAAAAACCCAAACAATCATGATGGCAACAAAAATAAAGTCTACAGGGCTTTAGATTAGGTTATTTGGCAGATATGTGTTACAGAGGAGAACTATGCGCTAGTGCCATGTCTTCATGCCCCAATGAAGTGATATGGATGAACTTAATGGTCTACCAGACAGGAAAATAAGGTATGCTAACAGCATCTTTGATAACCAATCATATTACTAGCTCATCTTTCTTTCACTCCAGAGCTACAACTTTTTTTCCATTGTAGTAACCAGCAGAATACAAGTAAATTCTAATGTAAAACTCATGGATCTGGCTTTGCACCAAGAAAGAAATTTCGAAATGTTGCATTACAACTATGATGCCTCTCCAATTCTGATCTTCTCTGTTCTCTCAAGTTTCATTTGACTGATGCCAAATTTGTTTCTTAGATAAGATATAGAAGACTGCTGAATAAGTAGATGATTGGTATATGATTTCAGTTTGAGGCAGTTATTAGTTTGCATTTCTATAAAATAGCTGCCAAGTTTTACCTGTCCCTTCATAACAACACAGTCCTCTAAACCGTTCCTATAGGTGGGATGTCTGCGCTGCCATGTGGTGAACGTCACAGGAGTCCCATCACTCCACTCAAAGTAGAAATGAGCCTTCAGGTCATTTAGGCCCAGCCATAGCTCTTCTGTTGGCTCTAAAGCATGGAAAGAAAAAGACTTGCTTATTGTCTGCTATGTAATACAACAAACACTTCAAAATCCAGCACAAAGAGGGACAGATAAAAGTTGGGATGTGGTGCACAAGAGGCAGCCTTCATGCTCTAATCAAAGTGCTGGTTTCTGTTCAGATCTCTAGTAAGGGATGATTTAGTTGGTAGAGAAGAGACTTCAGATGCCACCCATAAATTAATGGACATATAGCTCCTTATGGCTGACAGAAATGTTTTGCAAACTGAGCACCTGTGGCTTAGAAGAACAAAACACCCCCAGCATGGACATAAAGCAGTGAGTTTCTCAGTGTGCCCCATTGATCAGGAGATGAGATGAAGTCCAAGGTACAAAGACATTTGCCAATACATTTCCTTAACTGGGGATCCTTAGAGGGTCTGTCAAGAGTGGTCACTAAGTCCAGCATGCGAGGCAAGTGTCAGGACTGGTGATGACAGATTTGAGGAGAGTCATAAAAGAAAAAGCATTATTTTCTTAGAAGGAACTATTTTTGAGAGGTTAACCTCAACAAGAGGGTTTACTCTCAGCAGGAAGTTAAATTTCTTTCAGATTTGAAGCTCAGTTCTGGAACTATAAAATGTAGAAAAAAAAAAACACAAAACCTGCAAGTATTAAAAGATCTTTATGTGGAAATTCTGTTACCTAAATTTGTTGATAATAAGATGCTTTCTTATTTCAAAATATTTTAAAATGTAGATTTTCTTAATAAATATATGCTTATGTTTGCGCATCAGTAACAGACAACACCATAAGTTAGATACAGCCTTCAGCTTGTGATATTTCAGAGAAAGCATTAATATTTAATGAAGCTCAGCTTTTGCATTGCAGATGTGCCAAACAGAATAGAGGCCCACTTATATACTCACTGTAACCAAGCTGTGACACCAGAAAGCTGTATTCAGCAATGGTGTGGACACTGGCCAAGTCTCCATCCTGCCTCTTACATGAAGTCAGGGCATCCTTCCATGCTTTGGATTCTCTTTGAATGCTGTAGCAGTGTCCTGCATATGGCCACCAACCTTCTGTGCATTTAGTAGGTCTCATTTCCTCTAAAATAGAAGCAAAAATTTTCAGAGCAATTTTATAAAGAGTAAAATAAGCATTCTTTACAAGAAGTAGTACTATATGAATAAACACAAAATTGCAGGTAGAAATGCAAATATCATCAAATAAGAAGCAAATGTCATTAAGGCACAGTTTGCTCAATATGCAAATAGAATGATTAGTCTTTCAATGTCAAGTAAAGCACCAATAAAATTGCCCACATTGTGTCAGAGATACAATTTAAAATTTTACTCCGCAGAAGAGAGATCAAGGCAGAGGTCTGTCTCTCCTGTCTTCTACTATAAAAGCAGCTTTTATAACATTCCCAGACAGCAGCCTCTGGCAGATCCCTCCTGTATGGGGCATGTCCACGTACACAGCTACACTGATGTGTCATTGAAATCTTAGGTCTCAGTAGGCAACAGATGAAACACAGCCTGCGTGAATGCTGCTGTTCCTCCTGCTCTGTACATATGAACTCAGTCAGTTGCATATAGTTGTTGGAAATGATTTTTCATATTGATAATATAAATCAATATAAAAATCAATCCTTGTAATTACTCATTTGGAGCAAAGGAGAACCATAAACTTCCTACTTTTTGCATGCAAAATGAGATTGCTATCACTGTTACAGTGGCAGAACAGCTTCTATCTGTTTTGATAAAATGAATAACAATGATGGAACAAAATAACAATATTCTCCTAGAGATGATAAATATATTACACCTTTGTCCTCTCATCTTGTATGAAATCTTGTGTGTGCATATATAGCTTTGCTTTTGAAAACGTTGGTTAAAAAATAATGTTGCATTCCCTTCTCTTTTGTAAATTAAGGATTGCATTCTCTGGAAACCAGAGAAAAATCTTTCTTTCTATACATACCTTTGGTTATATTGTCAAATTTTGAATTTATTTTTCTCTTTTTACAGATGTAGCCAAATCTCTGGTTGCATGCTTGGTTTTCCCATTTAGCATTCTGTCTGGGATTCATTGTGCCACAGATTTTCCCAGGAGCTGGGGAAGGACTTCCTTTGAATAAGAGAGAAAACAGATTCTCTTACAAAAAGATCAATAAATGGATTGCATTATTAGTAGAATGATTGTCTTATAGTGATTTTTTCAGTGCTTAACGTGAAGAAGCCCTCCCCACAGGATAATTGCTGTTGCAGTTTTCAGAGTGGTGCTTTTTATCTTTATACACCGAGTGAGATAAATGATTCTCCTTAGATTTTGTCTCAGGATAGTATGGGGAAACTTGTAGTTCTTTTCCTGATACACTGGTACTCATTGGCAGAATAATCATACTTGCATGTCTCAAGAATTTTGCAGTTCTTCTTTCCTATAAAAGAGGTTTTCTTTTTTCTGTTTTGTTGTAAAAGAGCCTCTGAAAAGAACAGAAAAGTGGTGCCCTAGTACCAGACCTGCCAGTGCTGAGGAACAAGAAGGTAAGCAAGGGGACATGACTGCTTGCTGGGTGGTGGCCACTTCCTACAGCCAGCCTGCAGCCCTTACTGCCCTGGCACCAGCAAACCCCACTCCCACCCCTCTCCCATCACTTTGGGTTGCTTTCCCTCCTCTCTGGGCTGTCCCTCTGCCCATGTGTGAGGTGCACCACCAGCTCCCGAGTCTTTCTTCCTACACATCATTCCATACGGTTTTGCATACAGTATTGAGGAATTATGAGCTTGCTCTGAGTCTCTCCATAATATTTAGAATTTCTCCAGACAACATAGTGCCATTATTTTCTAAATATTTTGTTACTTTTTGAAGGTTTGATTTAAATTTATACTCTTAGATAACGTTATGGAAACATTCTGACCTCTGATCTGCAAGGTTAAACAACACTTCAAAAGAGACTCTCCATTCATAAATAAACTCTTTGCTTATGTGAGAAAATAAAAAGTCATTGGCTATTGTAAATTAACACAGGCTTCTCTGAAATAGAAGCAACTGAGGTAGCTTAATTAGTTGGTGTCTTATCAGAATCCATTCCAAGATTATAAAGTAAACGCAGTTCTTACCTGGAGCCCAGTTTAAATATCTGAAAGGACTGCCCCCAGCCCATTGCCATCCACTGTTGAAATTCAAAATGTTCAATCCAATCCACAATGCAAGACTGAATTTTTTAATTAGCTCTAAATTAGAAAAGAAAGTCAGTGGTGCCTTCCTATTCTAATTATTAGCAAGCTCACGTAAAAGAAATAAAGTCAAAAGTAATTTACCTTTTTTGGTTTAAACCTGCCCACAAATACTGCTTTTCACATTAATAAAGTAAACAGATTTAAATAGTAAGATGTATAAATGAATAATTTTAAAGATAGCAGAGATCTCCTATTGCTAGCAAAAATAGCAAATCATCTGATTTTACTATTTCAATAACAGTTTATTCATCATCTGTTCCCATTTATAACCCCCATATTACTAATAGTAGTCCTTGAAGCACAGAGGAAAGAGGTAAATTTGAGGACCAGGCTTCAGTCCTGACTGGAAATGAGCATACCAGTAGGTAAGGCAAGTGGTGGGAATTCTCCAACTGGAGCAGGCTGCAGACATGGCAGCCCTTACCTGGAATACAACAGTGGGATGGGCGACTTTTTTCCCTGCACTGGTTCAGGAGCAATCACAAAGAAATACCAGCTAATGGAAGAGCTGCTCAGAGCACCTTCCTTGTGGCTCCTAGTGAACACCTCATCTTCTTCATTGAGCCAAGAGACAAGGTAGCCAACTGCATCCTCTAAAGCTCTGGAGCAGCACAATTCCCCAGCATATTTGATGATCTTGTTTTCTATTCTTTTACCTCCTACATATTCTTGTTCATGTATCTCCGTGATGCTTAATAGTTCTGCATTTTGCTCCTGACAGCTTTTTCTTGCTTGATGCCATGTCAGAGCTGATTCTGAGTTTATTTGATAGCAAACACCAGTAGAAGCATCTTCTGTCCAAAATCTCTCTGTGTCATCTGAAAGAAGTGAAATGGAGTGCTACTGTTAGGGTATTAGCATCGCATCAGCTAAAAGAAAATGAAGTACGTAATGATGCAAAACCTGTAAGAACGCACAGCATCAGCCACACGTACAAGAGGTCATGGCCTTACATTGCACCAGGGAAGATTCAGTTGGATATCAGGAATTATTTTTTTTTCTAAAAGAGCAGTGAGGCAGTGGCACAGGCTGCCCAGAGGGGTGGTGGAGTAACCACCCCTGGAAGAGTTCAAGAGACATGTAGATGTGGCATTGAGGGATGTGGTTATTAGGCATGGTGGGGACAGGTTGATGGTTGGACTAAATTTTCTTAGTGGCCTTTTCCAACCTTAATGATTCTATGATCAAATCTAAAGCACCAGAAAGTTTGAAATTGGATCAATCATCCATTTAAAAATGTACTTTTTAAAAAATTTAAAACATTCTTTTAAATTTGTTTTTAAAATGAAGTGAGATGATAGCCAATATTACTCAGTACTTGTTTTTAATCCACAAAAGGGATAGTAATACTACATAAACCAGGCAAATCTGTATATTAAAAAAAAATAATTCCTGGATGAACTCAGAGGAAGAAAGCAAACATGCAGTTGAACTATGGCCCTGGAAACTCTGGGAAAAGAATTCCCTCTTAGTTCATCAGCCAGAGAAGTAGCATGTTCAAAGTTGCTGAACCTGGCCTCTGGCAGCCCCAAGGAGCTATAAAATTGTCTGTGTAACACCAGTGTGCATATCAGCTGCAATCTTTGCAGAACAACTCATAACGCCTTGTCAAACTGTTGCGCTGTTGGGAAAGCAGTTGGCAAGGAATGCAGAACAGATTGCAGACTGTGTCCAGCGGTGGAGGAATGCCAAGCATAGGTTTGTTACAAAGATGGGAGAGGAAGGTAATTTTAGCAGCAGTGTGTTATGGAGGCTGGTAGGAAGACACAAGAGCAAGATAGAAAAGTCAATGTTAAAGGGAAACAAGAAGCAATAGTGTATAGAGGTATAAATGAGAATTGACCTACAGGATGTATCTAAGGAATAAAGAGTAATTATAATTTTGGAAAGAAAAATAGCAGTCCAGAATCAGTCTGGTCGTGACATGCACTTAAGTTGCACACCTAAGACATATAGGAAGGAGCCTTTTTCAGTTCTCTGGTCCATGAGGAAAAGCAGCCACCTGCAGCAGGTGAGTCAGGACCTGGCTGGGCTGAGCCAGGCTCCAGAGATTCTTCTTCCTTTCTCTCAGCAGAGAGGCAGCCCTCAGCTGCTGGGACTAATGTTCGGACAGATTATTTTCACTTAATCACTTGTACTCTGACAAGGATGTGCACATTGTAACTGATAACAAACCTCACTGATGGATCGATAAATTGTTTTCTCAGCAACATTTAATGAGGACTTAATAGAACTATTTATCAATCCATTTTCCTACCTAAACTGAGAGGTCATACTATCATTTTAATTTTATTACTATTATATTTTTTTGCACCTAGAATTTTTAAATAAAAAAAATTGTAATAGCATGGTTTGAGCTTTAAATGTTTTGTTCAGAGTCTGGTATGTTAACCTTGTAGGAAAATCTGATTCTGCCCTGTACTGATAAGTTGTGGTTCCCGAAGACACAAAAACCCTGAGTAGATCTCGCACATTAAGGATCTTACTGCATTGTACTGTTCTGTGCAGCTCAGTAGGTTCACTTCATTATTCCATCTTTTTTTATTAAACAAACATAAAAACAATACAAAATGAAATAAAACAAAACAAAAAAGGCTGACCAAAAGGAATACAGGTCAGTCATCACTACAGCTAACATGAATATATGGCTCTAAAATTTCATCATTGCACTATGGAGATGATGGGGAGAGTAAATTGAGAGATCCCTATGCTACCCCACCTCCTATTGCCCTCATTTACAGTACCATCTAAATTAGCATTTTCACAGAAAGAAACACCAGTTTAAGTATCCTGTTCTTATTACCTTCCTTTCCCTTAACATCTGCACATCTCTCCTCTTTCATTCTGTGAATTGGGAGCTACCAGGATAATGCGCTCTTTACATCATATATCAAGTCTGATTACAAATATAAAACAATCACTTTGTCCATTAAAACTGTAAATATGCTCAAGGAAAAATATTTTCATACCTAATTTAACACAAAACCAGCAGGAAACTTACCCAGAGACTGTAATTGCAATGTACCACACACAAGGCAAAGGAAAACCAAGAACCTGGCAAGAATCATTGCAAATTTTCCTTTCATCCCTCAATCAAAATATTGTATAAAAGCCTTCTGTGTGAGGATAGTAACAGATCCTTCTCTCTGTCAAAGTGCTGATGTACACATGACATATCCTGTCATGTGACATTCCAAAATAACTCTAATGCACACTGGAAATATCACTCTCTTTGAAGATTAAGTTCCTTCCAAAATCAGCATCAGTTAAATTCAAAGTTGTAACAAAAATTGTGAAAAAAGTGATAAGTGAAATACTCAATCAACACGTAGTAGGGTCTAGAAACCAAAGTAGAATGTCATAGGAGGAACAACTGTCTTTGCTTTTATTTATAAATTGTTAGGAAAAATTAATGCATAAAATGGTTGACTTGATAGTTAAAAAGTACTGACAAAAGCTTGTTCAGAAAAAAAAGTTGCCAGACTTTAGTTAAAGTAGGAGCTCAGTAAATTGTTTAATAAGTTTGCAGTTGAGATTCAGCGAGAGCTTAGGGTCAGCATGCATACAAGAGCAACCCAGAAAAGCGAAGCTGACTAGTCACAAACAGTGTAAAAAAAAAAAAAAAAAGACATAGAAATTGACTTCACTGGGTAAAACCACATTTCGTGATTCTGTGTACATCTGAAACCACAAAATGAAATAGCACTGAGAGAGGGAAAGTACCTGGAGGACACAATTTCTGCTTGGTTCCCTCTTCTCCCTGAAGTGCCAGTCACACTCTTGACCAAGTGGGCCTTAGGTTGCCTCAAGTAAATGGATGCTTGTGAGATTTCAGCTCCACAGGGCTGAAGGGTGATGGAGGGAGATCAGTGCAGACACTGAGGCAGGCTAAAAGTTATCTGAGGAATTTATGCTGGTTACCATCATTTTGGGATCAATGTTCTCCATACTACATTTTGCTTGTGCCAGAGGCTAGACTCACCACTGTGCTAAATTGTTGGTTTTATTTATGCTAAAAAACCTGGGTCCCACTGCCTAGAAAATAAGAAAGAGAAATGAACTTTACTGTTTCTTTTACTTTTCCACCATGCAAAATAGGCCCTACGCAGCCAAGAGAAGCAAAAGGCAAGCAAAATGCTAGGGCCATCTGTTAAGCACACAAAGTGCTCAGTATACATTTGTGGCTCACCTTAATTTCTACTTTATTCTGATTCTGCTGTTTTTCTAACAGCATGATTATTTTTTTCTTGCTGATTCCTCATACAGGCAATACTGCTGCATTCCTCAATTTTCAGTTCCTTTTACTTGTATTTAAATATGGCAAGTTGGTGCTTGTTTAAGCTGAATACAAAGAAGTGAGGAGAGAAGCCCTCTTATTAAGAGAAGTCATTGCTCAGATGTGAGCACTTCCCTTCTGCTTTCCTCATATAGTCTTTCCGGTGCCTTTGACAGATAGCTCCTGTCAGCAGCCTAGCTGAAGCTTTCTGCTGCACGCACGTCTACTAGCAAGTAGTAATAATGACTGTGCTGCTGTTCTTTGCCTACTGGTAACCTTCAGCAGCATGCTGCTGAAGCAGTATTTTAAGTGTTACCTCTATTTAAAATAGTGCTGTTTGTTTAACATTGTGATACTTCCAAGACACTTCCAAGATACTTCCAAGATACAGCCTTTAGCAATCAGTGCCTGCCATGATGAGTGGGGACAAGATTGCCTCTATACTGTAAAATAAACTGGTCTTCAGAACAAAATATATTGCAGTTGACAACCACATTAGTAGACTGAAAAAAATAAATACAGCTGAGTCTTATATATGTATAGGTATACAGCTATGTATATATATACATATATATGTATAGAATATATATATGTATAGACAGAAAAACGTAGCAAGATGACAAAGCAGCAAAGTCTTAAATTGCAGTGAGTGCGAACCTGATTAGACTGTATAGCAGTAGGCACAGAAATAAAAGAAAGAAACTGCTTACCTTCAGAAGGCCTGTAAGGTCATCATGTAGGCAGAGATTTCCAGATGAGATACCCTCACCTCCACTGTCAACTCTTAAATTAGGTCTGGATAAGCGTAGATCCTGGCTCCATTCCTTCTGGTCATTCAGGTGCATTGCTTACACCTGACAACTGTGGGTTGGCCTTGCCTTCCCCCCAGATGCTCAATCACTGGTTGAAATCATGACAGCATTTCCACTACGGTTTGATATCCCAAAGTTATATGAAACAAGTATATGCAGCTCCATTTTTTCAGATAAATGGAAGATGCAGCTACAAGGAACAACAGTACAGGTGGACAGCTGGAGCGAAATTTGAGGCAAAAGGATTTTACAATTGCAAAAAATCTGAGCAGTTGTAAATTTTTATTGTTTTTTTCAATTCACAACAATCCAGTTCTTAATAATAATCACATTTTATTGAACATTTATTCTCACAAGTTGACATCATTTTTTTTCATTATGTTTTTTTCTTGACAAGCTATTTACACTACCATTTTTGCTAAGGCTCTTAAGGGGAACATCTTGACTATTACAAAACTATAACATAACTCAGTAACTCTGATTTTGTGAAATATGCGTGGTACGAAAGATACAAAAATACAAAAGAAAAATATTGCAAAATGAGAAAAAGTATTTGATTTAAGATTGCTAGAGACATTTAACAGATACAATTTCAGCAAGATTCAATTTCAGCAAGTAACTTCCTCCCCTGAATTAGCTTGTGCCAGAGAACCCATTCTCACCAATTCCTTAATGTACCAACACATCATTTAGAAGTGTTTAAATCTCTTGATAGTTGGTTTTGCCTTTTTCTCTTGTAGAAGTAGATTAACACACCAGCTCCAAGAAGACTGAGAATGGCCAAGAAAAAGAGAGGCCAAACAGAGGGATGAACAGGTGGATGAGTCTCTTCATTCCTTTGCTTGTCTGAAATGAATGCGTATCGCTGTGAGAAATCTTAGTATTTCCTTTATTGCACATACTACATCAAAACCAAACTGTTGTCTCCTGATCAGACTCAGGAGAGAGCAAATCTCTGAATGATTGCTGATTGGAAGCCAGATCCCTTTCACTAAAGCTAATGTAGTTTCAATGGATCTGAGTTTGTGATATACAAAGCTATCTGTCAAAGCATGCATAAGAATTCAGTGACTAATTTATCTATTATTTGTTCATTATGTGACTTCTGAGCTTTATGACTAGTCACCTTTGTTTCATGCCTTTCTTCTGCTTTTAATTATGTAATGAATAGAGATGACTCGGAAATTAAAGACAATATTCTGTTTCCACAGATCAAATGTACATCTAGAAAGTTTAACTCAGTAGTACCTTTCAGGTGTTTAAGCCACACTGAGGTTTCTTACTCACTGATCAACACTGGCTAGAGAACCTCCTCAGTCCTCATTCTGTTCTGCACCTGTACGCATAGTCCTTTTTAAGTCAGTGAATCAATATGGGAACAACAGTCTTGCATAATCTTGTTAACTTTCAGCATGTTCAGGGCCTGAGAAAGGAAATTTCCTTGTTCGGCCAGTATGGAGCTACTGTTCTGCAGGGAAAACATGGAAGAAACTTTGCACTATCTCCCAGTGCCTTACTGAGGAAATGGGAAACAAGTCTCTCTGAAGACCTTAGAGCAACGGAGAGCAGATCTCGAAAGACACAATTTTGATTTATTGACTCAAGTCATGCTTTATATATAGCTTTGGGATGATAATTATTTGGAAATTAATTTTCCTATCAATTCATTTGCAATAATTCCTACGGAAGCAAGTTGCATAGACATCTATACACGTTTCTGCAGCCAAGTTGCAGTTCTCTGTGTCTCTCTTCTCTGTCTCTAGCTGGGTCACTGATGAGCTTGTCAGATTTGCATTAGCCCTGCAGCAATTCAGCCACCCAAACCCATCCAAGCACTCATGTGGCTGTAAAAGGCAGTATGGGACTCTCATGAGTGATTTACACTTATTCATCTCAGTAACTGCCAGCAGGGTGTTCTCTAAAAGGGGATAATAAGGAAAACTCATTTTAAAGTTGTTGTTGTTGTTGGTTTTTTTTTCTCATTTAGGTTTTCATTAGTTTTCTTACGAAAGCTCTTATCTTTCTGAAGTAGAGGACTCCCACCTGGTTCAACTTCAACAAATATCAGAGAGAAATAATATAACACTTCATTAAAATTCATGTTTGATTATTTCTCTAAAATTATACAGGATCAAAAAAACCTGTATTACTATTACATTAGTGAGATTAATTAAATAAAGGGTGCCATAAGTGAGGCAAAAAATAATTTGCTAAAGTTTCATCTTCCTACCTAGTCTTATCAAACTATAATATTCATTAAAATATTTATTTTTTTATCTCTACTGAAATCCAAACTGTGACTTAAAAGTGTTCATTCAAAAATATTTTCACATTTTACTTCAAGTATTAATTTACTAAGAATATGATATACAATACTAGAGATTAATTTCACACAGTGTATTCTAATGTCCCCATATTTAGCCGGAGGCTGCTGTTACCAGCCTGGATTTCTTAAATGTCTTCTCTAGAAATTGTCCAATGACTAAGGGATTTAATCATCCAAGCTTCCTATGCATAACACAGGGACCAACAGAGAAAAGATCTCCATAAAATCTTTTGTTATTAGTATTGCTAAAGAAAGAGATACAAAAAATGCTTCAAACTTAGGAAAAGAAGAAAAATAAAACATACCAGACATTTTTAGTCAACAAGAAATTTACTGTAAATAAAGACTTCCTAAGTATTTCTCCTCAAGTTTCCTTTGCATTACAGTTCAGACAAACTACTCAGAGTAGAATTTGTAAAAGCAAAATATAAAATGAAATTGAAACAGAGATAAATTTAAAATGAACAGATACAAAGAAATAGTAACTCCAATAGCTGTACACTAGAGCATCTTATGGACTTGAGTGCTTTCTTGACGTTTTAGTAAGTTGGATAAAAATATATGATTAGTATTTGTTTGCTGATAACGTTTATCCTACATTTCTTCTTAAATACTAGGAGCTTAACTATTAATATCATTATTCTTCCAATTATTTATATACACTTCCAGCTTAACTATAAAAAGTAATATATTTCAAATCTCAGGAAGAAATGTCTGAGTTTCGAGAATATAATTCAGAA